GCCTCGTGGGGTTTTTGGTTCGGAGTTACGTTTCCCAGCTAAGTGCTCTTTTACGCGGATTCAGAGTGGTCTACCCGTTTCGCCAATGTATTCATCCCGCATGCCTCGCAAGAGATCAGGTAAATTGTATCCGACCTCATGCAGTCGCCGTCTCTGCCGTTTGAGCAAACTTTGCAGTCGTTGGTTGCGCAGAGACGATCATACAGCCGGGTGCGGACTAATTTGCATTTTAGTGTTTTTGGTGGTATCTCAACTACTGCTACCGAGATTATCTAAACCTGCTCTTTTTAAGCAGCGTTAAATTGCTGCACTCACTTCGTTAGAAATAAAACAGGATGAATGGAACTTTGTCCTTGCTAGACCTTCCGTATAGGGGCGCCGAATTTCTCTAAATTTAACCCGAGAAGCTCCTATCGTGTTGTAGCCATTAGAGGTGGCTTTTTTTTTGCGCCAAGCTCAGCGCGCCACTTGTGTTTATTTCCTGTGCACACATTAGCAGCTGTTCGAAACATGTTTTTTATTAGTGCGCATTTTGTGTGCGAGGGATGAGCAGATAGGTAGTGAACCAAGATGTTTTTGTTGCTTGGTTTACGATACCACTTTGTGTTGTAGGAGTTTTTAGGGAGGTTAACTTGAACGTTCAAAAATGGAAGCCAATTTTCCATAGGTTTCTCACGGGTGAACGTAATGTACTCTGGTTGGCTATTTAACGACTCAAAACATTTGTCCATATCCTCTTGCGTTGAGCAGACGACGAAAACAATCATCTATGTACCTACAGTAGAGGTAACGGCCGGAGATCAAATATTGGTGCCTCTACTTTAGACATAAAAACGATAGCAAGGGTCGGAGCTAGTCGTTGTCCCATTGCCAGCCCTCTGATCTGCGCAAATAATTCCCAGACCATCTAAAGAATGAGCAGCTTAGGCACTCTCTTAGGAGAGCCATGACCTGCCGAATGGAGAAGCAATACATGTTCGTAGTTTGTTCGTGCTCCGTTAGAAGCTCGCATATGGCTTGCATTGCGAACTCATTCGACACGTTTGTATAGAGAGCGGTTACGTCGAGACGATTCCATTACTACGCGTTGTTGGGGGACGCGTTACGTAGACGATCCAAGAACATTTGGGTATTGGTAAGATGGGCTGGAAGTGTTTTAGTAGTTGGACTAGTATTCAGTCTAAAAACCACGTTGTTCTATCCGTTGGCCCGTCTACACAAGCTGATGATGGATCTAAATTTGAATTTTGATGGATCAGTAGACGCAAGATCATCAGTACATACCAACTTATGAGTCTTAATAAGTAAGTACAAGACGGGGCATAATGGTGGACTAAGTTTTAGTTGAGAAATAATGGAAGATTTTAAATCAGCCGAACTTGTTATATTTACCCATTCACTATTCAACTTTCGATATTGTTTTTGAAATTCCTTATTGGATGATGGACGATAGAGTGTAGTGTCTGAGGTGTATTTTCGTTATCTCAACATCCAACTTATGGGGAATTACCACAAACTCTCCTCCCATATCACTAACTGATAGTTGAATGGTTTTGGACTTTATTAGCTCCCGTAGCTGTCGTGTACCGATTTTCTGCGTTGATGTTAGGTTGGAGCTAATCTTTTTTTGCGCGATAGTGATTGAGGATTCTAAGAGTTTCGTCCGAAAATTATGCGAAATTGATATCCACTTCATTATTAGGGTCTTGTTATCTAGAGAACGCCGAAAAAAGGCGGTGTTGGCAATGCCCCTACAATTTTCCTGCTGTTCGCGCCTATTGGGTGGTTTCTAGTCTAGCTTTATAGCGGAGCCGATCTTGAAGATCTTGCAAATTGCACGCGATACTACACAGGGTTTCCTTAGAAATGGATTGCGCTGGTGAGAAACTTGGGCCCATTTCTAAGAGCGAGCGCGCACAATCGGGGAGAGTCATGCCTTCGAACACGGTGACCCTTGATGTTTCCGGCACATTATTAATGTTAGTTAGACTCTTATTGCTTTCGTCAACGGTGTTATAGTGTTTTGGTGAAGTTTGCCTGTGTGAATTGTTCAAAAGTTTTTTTTTTGTTGTATGCTTCGCTGATATTCAATAAATAATATCAATAACACTTTGGAGCGGCTAAACAGAAGAAGATACTAATTTGTTCAAACTATGCCGAGGACAGTAGATAGTCGGTCCTGGGATGAGTTGTTTACTCGTTCAAACATAGCTATTCTCTCAAACTCATTGGCGTCCTTTATGTCAAGAAAAACCTTTATAGCAATATCTTCTGTGATAACCATCAATTAATAATGATACTATTTTCTCGGATCTCAGTTTACTAATTACATTCCCATCTTCTATAACCAGCGCGCACAAATACAGAATGCGCGCCCGCTTACGGCATGCGAAGTTAAGAACGGTGGATTGGATTGTGTTGGGTCAAGTGTTAAAGATCTCGATAAGTTACTCTTTTAGGACCGCCGCCACCCATTTTAGGTCACGCTGCGCGCCGTCGCATCTTCCTAACCCTACTCTGATCGCTGCTTGTATCGGGGGCGAATTCGTATTGGCGCTGCAATGGAAATAGAGCATCTATTGATTAGATTCAGATTTCAAAGGTTATAATTATCAGTAAGTGTTTAAACGTCATTGAAAAGACTCTACATGGGCTTTTTCCTGGGTCAAAACAATCGCCATGTGTCTATAAATTCTTTGTTCCAACGTAAAAATCGCATTGTTCCTGAAATGATTCTATTAGCATTTCCTATGGTATTTTTTTTCTCATTTTCTCACTCTCTGTTCATATATATGAAAAAAACGGTACTCCTAAAAGCATCTTTCTCGAAAAGCTTGTAAATATAAGATTTCTGCTGTGGAACAACCAACAGTTAATTTTTTATGACCTGATAGAGTCAAGGAATTTCTCAAGCGATCTAAATAGGTATTTCCGATAAAGTAACCAATAAGTATTTCACATGTCTTACAATCTGGATCCAACAACGATTAACCTACAGAAGATAGAGCACCTGGTGTTTAAAAATTTGAGAGAAGAAAAACATTATTCCAGAGTATTTGTAAACGACCTCAACTTCTTCGTTTGCGTCTTTGTTCTGTGAGCAACTGAGAGTTGAATGTTGCTATTTCCGCTCCTTAGTTTAGTTTTTCTGCGTTTAGTTACATCTACACTACATCAGGAATATTGTACAAAGTGCATTGCCCATAAGAGATCTAGTGAAATTCAGCAATGATGAGCTCTTCTTAAAAAAATGTATCAAAATCTTTCTTTCTTGTTTAATCTATGATATTAGTCTTGACGTCTTATTTTATTTAAGCAGTATGGCTATAGCAGTAGGAGCTTCAGCACAAGTTTTAGTAACCTTCATTTTTTGAGCCTGACCTAAATACCTATGTAAAGTTCTTTAGATCTTCGCATGTGATCCTGAATTTGTCAATGAGGTTATGCCGTTAAGTGTACTCCTTCTGTTTTTCCTCTCATCACCTATCAACAGCAGCTGGTGTTACATTAGCTGAACATGCTTAGACATGAGGGTCAGTTCCATCGTCCAGCACTACCGGTTCTGAAAATGATGTGTACTTCGATGAGTGCCTCGATCTTCTTGACGAACGCGATCTGTGTGCATACGTTCTCCGGCTGTTCCAGCGGGACCGGATATTGCCCTGTCCAGGATTTCTAATGTTATTGCACTTTTTCGGCTGATGGTTAGTTGTGATGATTGCTACATGTTATGCGCAAAATTCAATCACTTTACAGCCTTCATTGGCTCACCATCTTTCTAGAGTGGGTGTTTCGTCTGCTTATGCATGGTGCTCAACGACAAGAATACTTTGTAGAGTATCATTCTACAGTCGCATTTTGCCTTTGGAGGGCTTCGTCGCGGTATAATCTGCATCTAGTACTTTGATGAGTACTTATTCTTAATATGCTCATGGAAAGAAGTGTAAACGTCAGCATAGATATGTAGCTGCTAACCAGGATCCTTTGCCATCATTGTCTTGAATGCAAGTGCGGATTACTCATAATCAGCACTTCAGGTCTCCTGGATTTGAGGAACTCTACAATAATACGGTCCAGTTTGTTACTCGGACGACCGATAGTATCACGATCGGTCAAACTGCCCAACCTCTTAATCATTCAACTTCAGACACTGCACGCAACAAACGCGCCCCACCATCAACGCCATCTCTCACAAGGAGAGGGGGGGTTGCTTTGACCACTAAAGTTTGGTGTCGTTGAATTCACTGATTGGATACAATTGGTCTTCTAAGTACAAAGAAGCTATGTTCAGACCGTCTTGAGGATCAGTACATTACTTCAATCAGGAGCAGCAACTGATGGCAATAAACTCAGCAAGGATGAGTTATGCAGCGAGTGTGTAGAAACTTTTGATCTTGAGCAAAGTCCATAAAGAAATTAAAAAAGAATGAAGTTTTCAGCGTTGATCATTCTTTGGGAAAGCGACATGTATTTATCGTGAATTTTTTGAAGCATATCTCGCCTTTATGATTTGATTCAACGCTGGCTTACCAATTCTATCAAGTCCGTGCTGCAGTCCTCGCAAAACAAGTCTAGTACCTATTCACCAACCGGAAAAATAGAAGGCTATATGAGGCTTGAGCACGAGATCGAACCATCGACCATCGATTGATTATGTGTGTTCTAGAGCACCTCTAATCGCTGCGCCACACTCGCGTTTCAACTTTTCTTTTGTAGTGAAGACTTAGATTCGTTACAGCCATTGGCCCATATATGCTAGCGACACCTCTACTGTGCCTGTAGGAAAGATTTTTCTAAAAAAATCATTCGCAAACCTTTCTTTTGAGTTCTTTATGAAATCGACTTTTTTTAGCAGTGACGGAATATCTCAAAAACCTCTTGGTATTATTCAATATGTAATTGTGACATCATATCACTGTTGAAAAGCGATTAAATAAAGAGTTACGATATGTTCAGTAATGTGGAGTGCTGTGCAAGAATATTTGGTTTAGCCGAGATTCGCGTCGATGTCGCAACGGTCAGCATATGCTCCCAGAAAGAGTGAGATCTAGGTTCGAATCCCGGCTGACGCAATTTTTTTTGCACAACACTCCACATTATTGGGTATATTGTAACATCATAACCCAGCAAGTGGCAGTCAAATAAAAAGAATTTTGATTAGATAAAGAGTCTTGTTGATTCATCTATCAATTACTGCCAGTGTAGCTATGGGGTCATTGCCAATGTGTGCTTAGAAGACCTAACCGTAGACTGTTGGTTGCTGATAAAATTGATACTGCGTATCGCAGAAATAGTGATATTAGAACAGAAGCCTCGGAATTATAAATTGTAAGCACGCATCTCCGGAAAGGACGAAATAAGAGCTCGATTCCTATTGTGTTTTAGAAGCTTTGCATATCATTTATAAGTGTTTTTGTAATTGTACTGTTACAACTTTTGTAAAACGTAATATCCTTCTCCGCTCTAGCGCCGCTTTATGAAAGATTTTACTAAAAACCTTTTTTCATTCAAAATCAGTCAAATCTGGGCCATCGAATGATTTTTGAAAGTCTTACGTAGACCATTCACAGGCTTTAGCAGAGCGAGCAACTTAAACCAAGCACGCAACAATGTGTTTTTCTCTGCTAGTAAAGACTGGAAAGGCTTTTTTTTCAGAAAATGAGCACAGTCATAAAAATCGTTGAGGTATTTATTTTTGCTAACAGCTGAAGATTAGAGGAAAGGCTCTGTGCACCAAAAAGACCCCTAGAATTTCATGTATTCCTGAAGATATACGCCATAATCAGCGGGTTTACAAACCTAGTAGCTCATAATGCAAAGTTTAAAACTCAAAATACAGCGCCAAAACCGGGCCCAGTGCATTGTGCAGTTCCTTATTCACGGCCATCTGTAGACAATTACGGTAAATCACCTAGTTGTGCAATGGCCCAACGCATTCCATAAATAAGCGGGCTGTGTGTTGCTCTAAAAATAAGGTGTGGTTGTGGAGTTAAAATTTGAAAAAAAACCAACTAGTAAAGAGTCTGCTAAAACTTCTTAGATTTCAGTGTCATGGATTGCAGCAGCAAAATATGCGCTCTTAGACACTTTCCAACCAGTCTATGGACACTTCAGACATACTCTAGAGACATAGACGCGAATGGACGGCACTGTCCTACAATACTCTTCCTTAGTGCTGGCATCAATATAGTCAACCCAATGTTCCCTTTTCAACGTCTCTGACTTCACATAAGTGATTCTTGAAATGTATTTCGAAGGAAAACACTTCAACATCGAAGCGACAAAGTGAAAAGCAAAGTTTCTTCTTTCTAGATCTAGTATGTATAGATAACCCAGGTACACATCAATCAATTGTCAAGTTTTTCCATTCGTGCTCTTTGGTTATCGTGACTCATGATAGAATCAAATTCCACTCTTAACTGATGTGTCTTATTCCACTTCAACATCTGTTGGCGAGTGACTCGGAAAACGTGTAGCAGGATCTCGGCACGGATAAAAGCAACGTCAGGAACCATGCGAACTATTTAATCTGTTTTTCACCTGCTCATTTTTCGCTCCTGACATATATCTTAAAGCTATACCTGTGGTTGAGGGAGATCCTCAACTCAAATCACTTCTTGTTGAGGTCGTATTAGTGATTGATTAATAGAATTTTTCGAGTAAATGAAACCATACATCGATATTTCTGAGCTTATCGCAATTTTTAGTCTTTTTCAAATGAAATTAAGGTGTGAACAAGGGTGGTCTTGAGTTTTCAAGTTTTTTATCGTCTTTCATGAGCGTTAGCGCTACTGTAATTGAGTTATGGTCGTAATTTTACTCGAGTAAGTAAAGCTCTCATTATCATTACGACAACGATTAGTAGAAACGTCCTTTTTCAGACGATGACTCAACCATTTTTGGTGTCCAACAATTCCGCTACATGCCTCTCATAAAGGTTTGTTTAGCTTTTAGCTTCCATTGTGTACTATATTACATGTTACAACGATCTGCCGTGAGGCACACAAGAGAACTTGCCTTGGCGCGCGCTCGTCAACACCTCCCAAGTATTAAATTTTAGATTTCAAGGAGGACGTTATTGTGGCTTAATTATGGAACATCACGGAAAAGACCTTCTATGAGAAATTTTCAGGTAAGGAAGTGTCAAGATTCTAATTCTTTGTTTCAGGAAGGAATGCATAGTCTTCCAAAAAGAAGCATCTTCCAACTGACATTTCTTTACCTGAATATTTGTGATCAGTCAGCAACTGAAAATTTAGGTACTTAAACGGTCCGTCTTCACAAAATGTGCGGTTGCTAAATACACTTTCCATTCATTTCTTATTGCGTTAGCCGTCCATGATGGTTTGACTCAAGTATGGAGGCTGGCGTGAGTTTCATAGCGTGTCTGTAAAATATCTGCAGCTACGAGTACAGCTATTGATTCTCCTTGGAGAACACGTTCGCCCAACGTGTGAGTGGTTGTCCTCGAGGTCGAGTGTAACCACATGGCGTCCCACTCCAGAGTTCATTTCGCACATCTGCCGTCTGGATGTTAGTATATAGCCAACCCATCTGCGTTTCGCTATCGATGCCTGGATCTTTTGGAATTCTTCTCGATCACGATGAGACAAATTTTGGAGATCTGAACTGCGCAAGCCGACTGAATGTTGCGAGTGCCTCAGAAGACACCGTTTCGAGGGCTCTGTAAGTTTTTCCACAGTAGTCTTGACGTGGTCGAGGTTCAGCGCACATCACTGCAGCATAACAAAGCGCTGGGAGGGCTGTTCGAATCAAAAAGATGACTGCACAACTTGGAGACTGCTATCTGGTCGATAGCTTGAAAAGCCCGTATGTGGCGGACCCATGCTGCTTCCTTTCTTCTATCCAGTCTTCTATCTAGTTTTTCCTTTATGTTGTTCGCCCTTCAATGACCGTCCAAAGCACACGTACGAGTTAGTCTCTTTGACAAGAGGAACATTCAATTTGATTTGCTCACGTTTTACACCATGGATTCTTCATGAACTGTATCCTCCTCTTTTTATGCGTAGCCCGATCCCTTTGCGGACGCTAGCATAATCGATATGACCAGTGGATCGGGATCTTCTTTCTTCAACAAACATCTTTTTCTTTGTAATCGAAATTTTTCAGGTTCCTTGTACTTTCGGATAAAACATTATTTTTTATACAAATTTGTGTACTCTTTTGCAAGTTAAACTTCTACCTGCAGATAAAACATTGAGTGTGAGACGTAGTTTTGTTTTCGCCCTCACAGTGCGCTATGGAAACCTTTTTGAAAACCACTCTATGATTCAATTTCCCTGTGAGTCGGGCCATTGCATGAGCGTAGTGTTACAGTGAAAGCGATCCACAAACTTTGACTGATCCAATAAGGCAGACAGAATGCTAAGAGTAACTATATTTTTGTCGTAACAGCGTGATAAAAAAGCTTTTTTCACTAAGCAAAGTGTCGAAATCTCTGAGATTTGATCTTTTGCTGCATGAGTATCGAATAGAAGTATTCCTAAACGAAGAGAGATTCTAAAAAATTGAGGGATCGCAATGATTCTGAATCGTTCATTCGTTCGCCCCGCAATGGGTTTTAAAAGAAGTAGTTTCTGATCAAAGTCCATTGAATTTTAAGAAAGATCGACGTATCATCCATTAAGAAACGATGAAGCGTAACGAATGGCATTTGTGAAGGGGGTCAGCTCTTACCACATAAGTATCGTTCCAAAAAAAAAAATCAAGCTAGCTGTGGCAGTCACCAAGGTGAGCTTACTCAGACGACAGTTCTAAAGTAAGCAAGATATCTTCATTGGTTCAAAAAACCAGATCGTGCACCAAAGGTTAGCGCTCCTTTCCAAATATATACATTTGATTTTATAGAATAAAACAAAAGCAAAAAATAAGCTCAATTAATTTGCCGGATGATCTATCTTGTGGGCAGTCGTAAACATCGGATTTCGTGTGTTCTATTTTGAGGGTTGTCACTGAGATTGTGTTCTGTCAGTTTGGTCGAAGAACAGTGCACATCAGTAGACTCTTAAACTTCTTCTGCACATTGCCTTCGAGCTGTGTTACTAAGCTCATGGGTGAAAAAACGAAATCAACATATACTGACTGAAATGATTACTTGACTGTACGAGATAACACTTTTAACAACTTGGATTGAACTACGCACAATAAGTAGTTAAAATTTTTGATAAGTTTTTTTATCATGAGCATTCATAAACGAGAAAAAAAGTTAAAACTTAATGCGTAGACTAGAATTATTTTTTTATTTCACGGCTTCATAGCGGTAGTATGATATTGCACGATATACTCAAGTATTTCCAATGATGTGCAAAACTTTTGCCGTCAGCGGAACTCGAACTCACATTTGACTCTATCCGGATTTGTTTCGGTGTATTTGTACAATTATACCACCGCTACAAAGCGATTACATAGAAAAGAATTCTTGTTCTTGACATGGCATATCCCAATGTACTGTAAGCACCAAAAGTTCAATGTCGATATATTTTGTAATAGACCGCGGATATTAACCACTACTCCGTTGACAATCCTGAGGGAAGCCCATGCGGCGCAGTGGTTTTTAGAGGTGCTCTGCGTCGGCACACGAAGTCACTGGGGGTTCAATCTCGAGTTCATTGGCTTACCAAGCCATCCATCCCTCCGGGTCGGTAAAACTGGCTTCAGACTGGTCTCAGACTTGTCTGGGAGGATAAGCAGCACTGACTCGGTTTAGCGGAGAGGCCACCGCGAGCCATTGTAAGGGCCAGATATGCATTAAATCATCTCAAACGAAGTTAGAAATCAAAGACGAATGCATGACCCATCCCTCAGGGATTGATCAAGCACCGGGGTTTTCTCCTTTTTTTATCATCTATACTTCTGCAGATGATGTAAAATTCTCGGTAAACCCATTTATATCAGGTGCGGAGTAAGCCAGTGATGAGGGCGGACGACACCGCCGACAGGTACGTGTGGCTCTGCCGAAACATAGCTCGAAACCGCCATTACTCAGTCTGTTTCTATCGGATCCGGAATCCAATAGTACCATCTGATTGCTGGCATCGAGATCTATCTAAAA